AGTCGTCCCTGGTCAGTCCCTACCTAACTGCCCCCAACAGAAAATTAGGGGACAGGAACCACAGCATATCCACAAGCACAAGGAGGGAACTGAGACCAGAGGTAAAAGGGTAATCGCGTAGAGGCAGTAAAAGCTGTTCTTCAGCGAAAGTGCAAGTCACGTCTCGGAGAGAGAAGCCGACGGGGAGGAAATTCTCCCACGCACCCAGGAGAGCTCCTTCCCAAGTCCAGGCGGAGAAATGGGAGGAGGACGCTGGCGGCAGCAAGGACCGGGACAGAGGGGCCACTCTGGAACGGGGGAGGTGTGCCTGCATGGCAAACTGAGTGCATGAAGAGGACTTCGACTCTGACAGGATGACAAGAAGTGCCTGTGGTCCCTTGATGAGAGGTGTCTTGATAAAAATAGTGTAGGTAGCAAATATTATGCTAGAGTTTAGAATAGAAAAGCCAACTGAGAATAACAGAAAACTTTTCTCACACACACACACATCAAAGCACCTCAGAACATTTTTCTGTTAATCATAACAGCAAAGACACCCCCGCTGGGTGGACAGTATTGAGACAGACAATAAAGAGGGGACAGTGTCACAACAGGGTTCTTGCTTCTTCCCTGGGCTGCTCCCCAGGATGTGGATGAAAAAACTCATTCACCTTATTTAATCTGCAGCTGGTCTTAGGGTCTCATTTTTTGTTTTAAACACATCACGGTAGCTATTTCCTAGAGCAGACCATTCCATACAGCATAAGTGGGTGAGAGAAATAAAATAACCTATTCTTCAGGGCGGGGGGTGGGGGGGACTCGAGGGAGTAAGGAGGTGGAACGTCACCACTGGCCTGACTCCTTATAAATGACCTGGCTGACTGTTAAGTTAATGATCCGCTGTCCATGCACTGCATTGCCTCTCAGACCTAAACAAACCTCCCAACTGAACTACACGTTCTGGTTTCTTGGTTATTTTATAGAAGTGTGTGTGTGTGTGTGTGTGTGTGTGTGTCTGTACTGCTAGCAGAGACCTGTGGGAAAACCCTGACAGAACCCAGCCCTGTGTTTTATACGGCAGGAGGAGGGACCCCGTAAACACAAACAGAGCAGAGCGCTTCCTCTGGCTGACAACCTTATGATTTCCCCTTAACGCGCTGTTTAGAATCGCGATGGTGTGTCATTTCCCATTATCCTCTACACAAGACCAACACCACACGGCCGTGGCTTTCCTTTCCAACAACCCATCAGGAAGAACATACAAGACCCTCACGTGCTGCTGAAACCTGTCAAGACGGACAGCCCAGAGCCCAAGAGCCCTGTTTCTGCACAGAACAGGTGTGTGGCCAGGCGGCTGGGGCGCAACCTCCCCTCCAGCTTCCCGGCCCTTCTCAGCTTCCCGCCCCTGCAGGCCTCCCTCTGGGTGGGGAGGGAGAGCGGCCTTGGGAGAACCTTTCTCAGGCGGCTTCCTTCTGCCAGGGAAGACTGGCTCGCGCTCAAGACTGCAAGCATTTGACAACTGCAAATAGCAGCGAGCATGTCAACTCGTTTGATTCACAGCCCTCACCGGGGAATCAGAAAGCCAAGGACACAGTGGTGAGTTCCCTGGTTTTATGGGTCTCCGCTCCCCCCAGGCCTGCAGCTCGCCAGTGTCCTGGCATCCGCAGTGTGGGAAACCTCCACTGAGAGCCAACAGCCCCACAGCTTCACCCCATTAAAATGTGCAGTTGGATCTCACATGCGTGTTGCAAACACCATTCGAGGCGTGATTTACAGGCTTCTGTCTAGCTAGCCCCACAGCTGTTTTCTCACCCCCACACTTAGCCGCTGACAGGGATCCACCACTGTCTCCCCAGTACAGAGCCTTCTCACCTTCGACCTCCTCCATCACTCCTGAGCATCCAGAACTATGCAGACTGATAGCAAGCATTCGAGAAAACATTTACTGCATAAACTATAAAGTTCTCTTTCCACGGAATTACTCATTGGCGAGAAGAGCCAATTCAATGCCTTCTTTCTGTTTTCCCCACCCTCTAATCAAGGTGTTGTTGTTTTTTTCATCAAATTACACATATCACTTCTGACCCATTGGTATTGGCTATTTAGATGTTAAAACCAGCACAGGCCTCACTACATAGATGCCACCCAGGGCTTTCACACTCACTATGTTCTTTCTTTTAAAGAAAAAAAGAACCCCACCACTTCTATTTATTGCAAATTACCCTCCTGTGGCTGAGTCAAGACAGACTCTCTGTGCTACACAGAGAGTTACTCAGTATCGTGCCATCATGACTCTGTGACCACCCTCCCCAAGTCCCAACCTAGTCTAGCTTCCAAGAACCTGAAATCACCCACAAAAAGGGTAAGTCTCTGGCTTAGGGTTGTGATAAGTTCAGATGTAGGTACTGATACTACCTTCTAAATATCTGGCTTTTAATCTGTTGCAGGAATAGAATGGTACTGGTACTCTAGTCATTTCTTTCTCTCTTTTTTAAAAATATTTTTTTTATTGACTTCAGAGAAAGGAAGGGAGAGAGAGATAGAAACATCAATGATGAGGGAGAATCATCCCCCCCCCCCGCACTGGGGATCGAGCCTGCAACCTGGGCATGTGCCCTGACCGGGAATTGAACTGTGACCTCCTCATAGGTCGATGTTCAACCACTGAGCCAGGCCAGCCCAGCCTTCTATTCATTTCTGATTCTTCTGTGCACAGTGCAGCTATCAGTGTAGAGTACAGACTCAGGAAGTTGCCTGAACTTAACTCTTCTTAGTCCACCCCATGCAGTGAGTGGTCTGTGGGACTCCTGTGTCCTGTGAGGAGACCCACCCTGCAAGTGAGAAGGACAAAGGAAGATCTGACATTGAGAGAAGTGTCCCAGGTAAAGTCTTTGCTGGAAATGATGTTTGGATGGATCAGTTTCACCCTAATGGCTCCACAGGTATAGTTTCCATTTCAGATGAAAACGACGCACTAAAAATGTTAGTACATGAGACTGTATTTTGCCCTTTGTTGCAACATACCAGTCTTTTCCAACGCACAGAACCTCAAGGTGCAAAGGGGGCACTTTCTGTACCCTTTCACATGCCCTCGCCCCTGCCCCCGGCGTTGAGACTGTAAGTTTTCCCTGGAAAACAACAACACGGGCTTTCTCCTGCATTTTAAACTACTACACAACAGTGGAGGAGGGAGCATGCTCACTCCATTGCAGGCCACAATCATCATAACAAACCTGCTTTATTAAAGAGAAGTCCTCTAAGACATGAATACCAGGAAGAAGCTACTGGGCAGAATACAGTGTTTAATGGTTTGCAAAGGAAAGGCCCCCAGGTTCTACAACTCAAGAAAGGCAGCTGTTACCTCTCCTCCCCCTCCTACAGCGGTCTTCTTGTAGACCTCAGGAATAAAGACCACTCATTGACCCCCTTGATGATCTGGTAATGAGACCATGTGGACATGTTGGGCGGTCAGATCTTCAGGTTACCCGAAGAGTCAACATTTTTAAACCCTTACGTTAAAAATAACCCCAAATTCATGCTTCTGACAAAAGGTCCCAAAGGCCAGAATTTCAATCAAAGGATGAGAATCACAGGAACAAAACGACCACTTATTAAATACAAACCACGCATCAGATGTTGTATCAGGCATCTCACCTCATTCTCATTAGTGTACCTTTTCTCATTAATCTCTCAAGGTCAACAGTTCTCTCTACCCAATTTCATATGGGAGTACAGAACGCTAAGATGGCCCAGGAAAACACAACTGGCATTGAGAGACGTGAGAGTCAAAGCCAAGCCTTTGTTCCCAAGACCCCATGAACTTTCTAGTCCACCAAGCTCCTCCCAAGAACGTCACAGCAGATCCTGGGAAACAGCCTGTTCCCCGACCTGGTACTCAAGCGGGTGGGAGATAACTGGGTACTAGAGATGCTGTGGAAGGAATCTGGGCTTTAGAGGGACCTGGAAGAGAGCAGCTCTAAGGTCTCCTGCCCTTCTCAGACGTCCCCCTCTCCTAAGTACCTGATTCTCATTCACCTGAGGGGAGCTGAGTCATCAAGACACGTCTATTTCCTGCTGTGACCAAAACAATCGATCCCTTTGCTCCCTCCCTCCTTCCCTCCCTGCCTCCCCTACAGCTTTGGTTACATTGCCAGTGAGGAGACGCCCTCCATGGCCTCCTGTATTTCTTCTGAGCCTCGAAAACTGGGCAGTTTAAACCCTCCTCCCAATGATGCTTTCTCAACACCCTTCAGCTACATGAAAATCACTGCCTTACCCCTAAAGCAGCTTGTGATCCAATCAGACATATTCGCCCCACCCATTCACCCTTTCCATCCCTACCCTGAATTCTGTGTCGTTAGCTTACATATCTCATACCCCAAACACTTCCAAATACACATGCATTGTTTTAGAACAAGACAGAATATAAGTAAGTAAACAAAGAAATACATCTGTCTGGTATCCCATCCTCTTTCTTGCTCCCAAACAGTGAAAGAACCAACACTAACCCATCCCTCACATGGTGCTCTTTCCACAAGCAAAGCTCACACACGTCAGCACCAACACACACTCCCCGAGTTCCCAACACCTTTCAACTCCAATCTCATTTTTTTTTTTAGTTTTTTGTTGTTGTTAATATTAAGGATATTTTTTCCATTGATTCTTAGAGAGTAAAGGAGAGGGAGGGAGAAGAAGAGAAACATCAATGTGAGAGAGACACATCGATTGGTTGCCTCACGCATGCAACTTGACCAGGGCCAGGGATTGAGCCTGTAACGCAGGTACATGCCCTTGATCGGAATCAAACCCGGGACCCTTGGGTCAGCAAGCCAGATGTCCTAACCACCAAAGAATCGGCCCGGGCCCAACTCCAATTTCTAGTTTCAACCCTTTCACGTTTCTTCCTTCACTTGAACCTCTATGTTTTTGCCTAAGATTTCCTTCTAGAAAGAAGGATTGGCAATTACCCCCAGCCCACCTCCACCCGCGGGGGTCGGCTCTGGCCGGGCAGCCCACGTTACCATTGGAGTCTTCCACTTCTTCAGCCGAGGTGGCTTTCTGGGCGGAGTGGTGGTTGTGTGAGGAGAGCAGGCTGACGATCCTCGGCCTGGGCAGCGTCAGGGCTTTCCCGTGGACCTTGAGGGAGTGTTCCTTTAACTGGCTGATTGTCATGGTGGAGAATGAGCACCAAGAACACTTGTAGGCATGTTCACCTGGGAGATGGGGCAAGGGACAAAGGGGCAAGGAGGGCACAGGTGGGGTGGAGACCAGAACATGGTTAATCACTCGATGGAGGAGCGTCCCGAGCTTCGGGGTCTAAGACCTGCACAGACCAACCCCCGCCCATCCCCCAGCCACTGCTCTCCTCCGGACTGAACCCCTCGAGGAGCTCCGTATTCATGTGGCCTGGCTCCTTTCCATTTCACGCTCTAATCGAGTGGAGGGGCCCATGGGCTGTTCCTCCACAGGGAGCCAAACCGAAAGTCTACGATGCCCCCACCAGAAACGCTTCCCGGTCTAGGCTGCCCTTCTATCGTCATCAGGAAATAACACGCCCAATTCTCCTTTCAGGGCCTATGGGTGGCTTTCCATCACCCGTCCCTCTGTGCGAGTTCGCTGTGCTGGTTTCATTCACCACTTCCTCGCTGACTCCACACCTCCCGACTCCACTCATCCTACAGTGGGCTTTGTTTTCTGGACCAGTTCACAAACCTCAGCATAAAACCCCATTTCCCTCTGTAATCAATAACACAGAAATGGGTAAAAACAAGTCATTTTTTTTAAAAGTGAAAGAGATATGGGTCTACATATGAATATATGTCTCTGTGTGTGTATAGCTCCACCTTCTTCAATAAACAGGATATTTCAGTTAAAATAAGAATTTTCCTTTTAATTATTTTTATAACACTGAAATGCAGGACGAATCACTAGGACTAAATTAAATTAGAGTATGATTTGCCTTTGCCCTGAGTCAGTTTTTCAATTAACTGCATTTTCAGAAGCGAGGGTGTGAAATGGGCAAGCTTATGTTATGTTACCCTGGTACAATCAACTCAGAAAGCAATTCTGCTTTTTAGAACAATAGGGTTTGGATGTTCATGCCTATAATGTAGTAATTCCACTTCTGAGAGTTTACATTAAGGAAATATCCTTTAGTACATAGAAAGCTTTATTTAGAAATAAACATGCATTTGTGCTTAAAAAAGATGAAACAACCTAAATTTCCAACCATAGAGAAATGATTAAGTAAATGTGGCCCTATCTTCTTGATGAATTATCATTTTCTTAAAGAGTCTATAACAACATAGGAAAATAAAGTACTTGAAAAATAGATAGGAAGGCATAATATCTTCTAGATTAAATTATAACCACAATTGTTAAAAATAATTATAGAGGAAATGGTTGAAAGGAAAAACAATCAAATGTTAACAACAGCTGCCTGGCTGGTGTTGCTTAGTGGTTGAGTGTCGACCCATGAACTAGGATAGCGGTTGCCAACCTTTCGGACCTCACAGACCTGCTGAACTAGGAGATCATGGTTCAATTTCTACTCAGGGCACATGCTGGGGTTGTGGGCTCGATTCCCAGTAGAGGGCGTGCGGGAGGCAACCAATCTGTGATTCTCTTTCATCATTGATGTTTCTTTCTCTCTTCCTAAAATCAATGAAACATTATTTTTTAAAAAAACATGTTAACTACAGTGGTCTTGAGATAATAAGATTATGGATGACTGACTACATTTCGTTCATTTTCAAATTTTCTGTAAACATGTATTTTTAAAATTTATTTTTAAGTGAAATTTAAAAGCCAGAGGAGATGAAAGAGGAGGAAGTAAAGGAATGAGAGAAGAATGGCTTTATGGTTGTGAAGGTTCTCTGGGCCAATGGGAACAGCTGAGGGCGGAGCTGATGTCTCCGGTTTAGGAAGTGAAGCAGGAAATGGAAAGTAAAGTTCTGCCCTCGCTTCACCCAGCGGAGGGCTGCCGCCTGCCACCCGATGGTTTCACATGTGAGGTGACCCTACATCCCAAGTTCTGCGTTAAGTCTCCTTTTCACCACTGATGACCCCAGAGCTTGCATTTCCAAGAAAGTCTTGAAACTAACCTTGATTTATACAACATGTTACAGCCCAAGGCAGAACAGACATTCAAAGAGGTCAGAGGATCCAAACAAAGAGAACATCCATCAGTTGTCCCCCCATAGTTACCTAGGAGTTACAGGGTAATGCTGGGCCATGAGCAATGGGCTTTACTACTATTACCTATATAAGTAATATATATATTATTATAAGTAATATATATACACACACACACATGTATATATACACGTACATATATATAATATATACACATTATCTGCATATATTACAAATATAAGGTGGGGCAAAAGTAGGTTTATAGTTGTGAGTACTCAAAATCTTGGAGTTTATTCTTGTATTATTAATTATTGCATTATTACAATACAATAATTATGTTATACATAATACCGCTGCTCTCCTGATTCCATTTTTCAACTTTTAAAAAAAAACTTTATTGTTGAGAGCATTACACATGTCCCCCTTTTCCCTGCCGCATTGACCTCTTCTAGCCTGCCTCCATCCCCGCCCCAGGCCTTCACCACCCTATTGTCTGTGTCCATGGGTTATGCATATATGCATACAAGTTCTTTGGTTGATGAACTTTGTTTAGTGGTTGTAAATAGTCCAACTGGAGAGAGAATTCAAATCCAGGTTACTTGGTTCATCTACACGACTCTTTATCCTTTAAAATAATCCATCTACAACAGACAAGATGGAAAATATACTGGCTCTCCCTTAGCTAAGCCACTGTCAGTGGCTAAGGGCCATTTGTGGACACCAGGGCTCCCAGGTGCACAGAGAGCTGAATTACACCGCTCCCACACTCTCCCCCTCTGGATGCTTCCTTCTCCCCAACCAGTGAGCACAGAAGGCCAGTCTGCTCGCCAGCTCCAAGAACATATACTTCCGCTCAGTGCCCTGGAGCCAGTGTGCAGCCTCTGGCACTCCTTCAAAGCCCTTCCTACAGGCCGAATCCTTTACCCACTCCCACTGCGAAAGTGCTTCTGACCAGGCGGAGGCCTATGGGAAACACACCAGGACGGGGTCCCAGCTGAATCATTTACAATGTACAGTTAGAAAAGAATGGCTTGAACCCCAGAGCCTCTCACTCCATGAACTTCAGTGGAATTTTCCTGGAGATATAAAAATACTAACAGATAGAGACAAGCCCATTTGGTGAATCTCCCTGTCCCAGGCCCCACCCCCACGCCCCCACCCCTCTGCCTCCCGTGGGGCCCAGGGCATCTGGAAGCCTTCAGTAGCTTTACTGCATTGAGCCAGTTCAACGGGACCCAACACTCAGGAGGAGACAACAGAGAGACAAGAATGTATTTCCACAGGCAATGAGGAGATGGCAAAAGGAAGGCAGGACTCGGGGTCTCGGTGGGTTTTATAACCACACAAGGGGAGCCAAAAAGCGAGAAGAATTCTAGCTGTCTGCAAATTTTCAAACTCGGATCTAAATGCCTCAGCCCAGGAAACTCAGGGAGGAGACTGGACTTCGGAAAGAATCCGATAGTGTAGCTGGGTATCCTGAGGCCTCATTTCCCCAATTTTTCTTTGGGTTTGATGTGAGTTCCTCTGAGGTTGTCAAAAGCTCTGAGAGGGTCACACGCAGGCTGCCGCTGCGTTGGGGTTCTGAGAGTGACTGAGAGGGTCATGGAGACATCCCCAGGCCCCCACCCACCCACCCACTGCCTTTCCTACCTCACGCCTCTTTTCTCTGGGGGCTGAGTTCCGATTATCTACCTGTGGGCATCCCCTATCATATGCAAAGTAGAGAAGAGCAGGAGAGAGAGAGAGGCAGCATCCCGTCAGTGACAGGGATGTGCTTGTTCTGGAGTCAAGTTCTCAGTGAATGGACCACATGGCTTTGAGCAGGTCATCCGAAACTGAGGGTGACAATCTGCCCTTTAGGACTGCCATGAGGATGAAAAACGATGATGAATGTAACATGTTTAGTAAAGAGCCCTGTAGGTAAAGGGTGTTCAATGAAGCAAGCACAGTGAGAGGGACCGATACAGTGACAGAGACCCGCGTAGCCCCGGGACACGCATGATACTAAGCCACTTCTTATCTTGTATCTGAAAATGTATCTAAGGCATCTCCCAAGAATCTCACTACTTGTCTCGAGTTCTCTTAAGTTCCTTTGAACTTCCTCAAGACTACATTACTTTATTTGGGGGCTATCTTTAGGGGATGTAACAATTCTTGCATTTCCATTAGAAAGGCTCGGGAATTTAGAACTTTCTGTTCGCCAACAAACGCTGTTAGCATGCATCAGCTGTGACATGGGTGACACCCGCTGGGTATTATTTTGGCTTTGGGCGATTCCTTAGATTTTTTTTTTATTCGACTAAAAAATAACTAAATGTGCAACCATCTCAAGAATAACTTATTCTCATGTGTGGGACAAGAGACTTTTAAAGTTTTACTCAGTGAAGACCACAGGATTGCAAACTCAGCAGACTTGGGCACCACCCATGTCAACTCACCAGCATGAGCTTTGAGTAGGTGTGTTTTTAGCCGACTGTTGTAGGAGGACTTGAAGGAGCAGAGTTTGCATCGGAATGGTTTGTGGTGTCCGTGGTGGGTTTGCATATGGCGATCCAAACTTGATGTAGGAGAAAAACGAACAAACAACAAGACGGGGTTAAAAACTGCACGTAACATTTTCTCATTGCCCTCTTCCAGAAATCCCATTTCTAAGCTGTTCAAAGTCATTTTGCTACTTTCCAAAGACGGTACTTACAAAAAAAGAAGAAAAAAAAAAAGGCAAGAGTGGCACCGACTCTAAAAGGAAGGGAAGCTCAAAGAAGGAGGAGATAACACTTGAGCAGGGAAGGGTTTCAAAGTGTTGAACTACTTGCAATGAGCTGTTCGTTCCCAAAGCCTTTGTAAATAGGCAGGTGTGATTACGGGAAGTCACGTGATTCAGAGGCTGGTCACCCCTCTGATAAACACAACAATGTTTGCTATACATCCATCTTTCAGAGCAACTTACAAGGATATCATTTAATTATGGGCATTCCCAGTATTACATAATTACTAGTCTAAAGAAAAAAAATAAATCCACCAAACCAGGTGTGGGAAAAGTCCTAATTTGTGTCACTACCCCACATCACACATCCTTTCCAAACCTCTCAAGTCTTATCTTCCTACTTCAAGTGCTCCCGACTCCATAAAACCTTCCTGATTCTTCCAGAGCGATGTTCAGATCTCCCCTCTTTGAAACTTCATAGCGTTTTATTGACACACATTTTTTAAAGACGTGTGCCTTCGTATGGCAAGTCACTGGTGTGCTGGCTTTATTTATTATCCAGCTAGACCCTAAACTCCTGTAGAACACTGACCATGGCCCATTCATCTTCACATGCCCAGAAGCCTCCAGGACACCGCCAAGCACAAGGGCATACCCACTTATTCACAGCGATGTCCTGAGGTTCTGCTATGTGATAGGTGCTGTTATAAAGTACTTTGGACCCTCGCCGGTTCGGCTCAGTGGATAGAGTGTCAGCCCATGGACTGAAGGGTCCCGGGTTTGATTTCGGTCAAGGGCACCTACCTTGGTTGCAGGTTCAATTCCAAGCCCTGGTCAGGGCGCACGTGCAGGAGGCAACCAATAAATGTCTCTCTCACATCGATGTTTCTCTCTGTCTCTCCCCCTCCCTTCCACTCTCCCTAAAAAATCAATGGAAAAATATCCTCGGGTGAGGATTAACAACAACAACAACAACAAAATAGTTTTGGAATTGATGAGAACTACACAAATTTGATGCCAGTGCCTGGATCTGATGGCAAAGATTAGATATTCAACTTTGAATAATAATAATAATAGAATAATAATAGTTTTAGCCCTGACCGGTTTGGCTCAGTGGATAGAGCGTCAGCCTGCGGACTGAAGGGTCCCAAGTTCAATTCCGGTCAAGGGCATGTACCTTGGTTGCGGGCACATCCCCAGTGGGGGGTGTGCAGGAGGCAGCTGATCGATGTTTCTCTCATCGATGTTTCTAACTCTCTGTCCCTCTCCCTTCCTCTCTGTAAAAAAATCAATAAAGTATATTTTTTAAAAAATAACAGTTTTAAGCATCCCAAACTCTGCAGAAGCACTGCCTCCTCCCGCCTTTCCACCTCCACTAACTAGCACTCTGTCTGTTTAAAGAAGCAAACAGCCCATCAGTTATTTCCAATTATCATAAAAATAAACAGCATGTCATAGTCTTACAATTAGTCACCTTCATCCAAGACCGCAGAACACATTACAGAACATTTCTCTCTGGCGCACAGTCAACAGAGAAAGGCAACAAAATGTTGTTTCGTCTCAGAACCATCCCTCTTCTCATCACCCAGAAAAGCCTTCATAAAAACTCCAAATTTACCATTTCTAAGCCGTGATGAGCAACGGGAAGCTCCCCCTCTTCAACCACCCTGAACTTCAAGCATCTCTCTGGATTCCATCAACTTATCTACCTTTCAAGGTCTTTTAAAAAAAACATCAAGCAGCCCTAACCGGTTTGGCTCAGTGGACAGAGCGTCAGCCTGCGGACTCAAGGGTCCCAGGTTCCATTCCGGTCAAGGGCATGTACCTTGGTTGCGGGCACATCCCCAGTTGGGGATGTGCAAGAGGCAGCTGATCGATGTTTCTCTCTCATCGATGTTTCTAACTCTCTATCCTTCTCCCTTCCTCTCTGTAAAAAATCAATAAAATATATTTTTAAAAAACCCAAAAACACATCAAGCAATGATGCCCAGTCGGCATGGCTCAGTGGTTGAGCAATGACTTATGAACCAGGAGATCAGGGCACATACCCGGGTTGCAGGCTCCATCCCCAGTGGAGGAGATGCAGGAGGCAGCCCTTCAATGACTCTCTCTCATCATTGACATTTCTATCTCTCTTTCCCTCTCCCTTCCTCTCTGAAATGAGTAAAAAAAATATTTTTAAAAAAACCAAGCAATGAGCCTTTGGTCACATGGGTTAACAGTCCTAACTTTACCTCCCAGTCACTCCATGGAACTTAGTTCTCAAATGATGATTAGGTACCAGTAAACTTATCGACTCTCAGATCTTTCTTTGTGTACATCAGAGCCATACCTACAAAACTGTCATTTTTTTAAAAAAAGCCTGCAAATCTTCTGTCAACCAAGCAAACTCGTGTTCTTAGCCCCATTTGACAGATAAAGTTCAAGGTAACTGCCAACTGGACAGCAGGTGTGAACCACGAGGGGCAACTGCTGACTCCTCCAAGCTTCTCCCGCCCTCATGTAGCTGCCCTCCGATAGGCCACCTCCTCCCAGGTACACGCGACCGGCCACTCCTTAAGCACTTACTTGTGCCTGAAAGCGGAAACAAAGGAGCAATACTGGCAGCTGTACTTGTCCTCGCGGGTGAACATGGCCAGGGCCAGGTGGCTCCTCTCATGAGAACGCAGCCCCTGCATGGACATCAGGACTCGGTCACATTGACTACAATGGTATCCCCCCGGCCGGGTCTCATCCTCCAACATTCCATCAAGCAAGCAGTGTCCACCATCCACCCGGTCCACCAGGGCGCCACTTGCATCTTTGGCTGCTTCCAGTCCATCCAGGAACAAGTGGGAAGGGTCCTCAGCCTCCTGCTAAGAGAACCACACACACACACATACCCCACCAACAAAATAAATATCTATGGTCATTCGCCCCAGCCTTCCTCCTCTCCTGCATTCTCCCACATGCCGAGGTGGTTCCTGACAGTCTCCTCCCGGCCTCTCCGGCTCCCCCTAGAGGAGACGGCAAACCCGCCGGCCATTCCTCATGCAGTGGTGGTGGTTTTAGGGCAATGTGTCCAGGCACAGGGTGCTACTGCCTGGGAAATGTTGAGACAGGGGATCTCCCACACTGAAGACGGTTCGCTCACTTATCGCCCATCTTAAAAAAAGAAAATTAAAATTGTGATCTCACCTAAACTGACATAAGGCAGGGTTAGGGTTACGGCTCAGAGAAAAAACAACAGGAAAGGAAGGGAACCACGCCGAGGAGTGTGGGCATCATCCTTGGGAAGTCAAGGAAAGTGAAAGAGCCTGCCCTGTGCCCCCCGTGCTCACCCCGCCCCGCAGACGGTGACTTCAGCCCTTGCCTGAAGGTTGATGAAATAATCAATTCAAAAAGTTAAGAAGCTGCCTGGTTTGAAGTCACTCATGTTTCCAGGTGGCTCCTTGGATTACTGATTACGGGGAGAGCCGCTCTGTCTCCCCTGAGTGAGTCCAAGGCTGGGACACCCCGCAGAGGCAGGGAAGACGCCGGCCACCACTGCCCCTGCGCTGCCCACAGCCAGGCAGTTTCAGTCTTCAGAGGAGAAAATCAGAACGTTTGCCTCCACGCCACACAGGCAGAACAGGACAAGATCAAACGGGGCTGATGACAAATACAGTCACATATCCAGGGAGGAAGCGCAGAGCCCTGAGCCACCTCCTCTACCTCAGCAGGCTAGCCCTTCCTGGAAGGCCGGGATGGCGGTGTGGCTATCCAAACAGCGGCTGCTATTCTGGTTATGAAGTTCGCAACAGGCAGCCTAGGAAAGGTGGTCGGGGGTGGGTTTGGGGGCGGGATGGCATGTGTCAGTAACAGGGGGAGGGTGGGTGGGAGGACAAATCAGGTCAACAGGCTCTCAGGGTCAACTGTGACTTAAGGCTTTTAGTTTTAGGTGAAATGTCTCTGCCACTCCTTCGAGGACCCAGGATAAGCAGCAAAAGACGGACTCTCCCGGGCTCTCTGCGCCTGCCAGCCCGATGAGAAAGGACAGTGAGAAGTCAGGCAGTGGGAGGAGCCGAAGAGGACAGGACAGAACACACTCAACTCCTCTCAAGAGCTCGGAAGAGCAAACACCTAGTGTTGCTACACGCAGAAGAGAAGGGCGACCCGAAGCCTCCTGCGCCGAGAGGCCCGGATCTTCTGTTTCCACCAAACTACCCACGTGGCAGGGAACCAGATCGGAGCTCGACCGCGTCGAGACACGCAAGAGGAGGGCCGTCCAACCTGCAAAGAAATCAAAACAAGCCAGACCGACGCCGGCAACACTCAGGAATGCGCACACTCCGGGCCGCCCGCTCCGGAGCTGCTTTGAGCAACGGGGTTAATGAGTAACGCGCACGGCTCACACACAGGAACGCGCATCCAGGCCTTCCCAGCGCTCACCTTCACGGCGGACACGGCGGGGACGCTGCCGTACTGGACGTGCTTCCGCAGGTGATTGCAGATGGCTCGGAGCGTCGGGTGCACTTCCACACAGAATTTACACTTGTAGCCCACCACCTTCCGCTCCTTGATCTTTGGCACCTCTTCTAAGTGACCAAAAGGCTGGTAAAATACAGTGGTAGCCGTCAGTACTCCGAGCCCCTCCCGCAACGGCCGGCATTTATTCTTGTAGCTTACTAGCCGGTTTTATTTTAAAGCAGATTAGCAGGTTAAAAACCAAGGGAGAGAATGAGTATTTTTTTTTTTTTTTTTACATAAGGAATTCGTCAGAGTCGTGGCACACTGCCTACTATGCAAAGTCTCTGGAACCCGCGTGCATTACGACTTGTGAGAAGATTTCTGTGCAGAAGCCTCATCGTCACGGCCACCAAGGGATCTGGTCTGCAAACCCGTGTCAACTACGCAGGTGAGAACGTTGCATAGCTACGCCGTTAGTGAGCTTCTTGACACACACACACCATTCTACTCCGGGAGATGTTAGGTTCGTGTAGCCACACTGCAGACCGAGACACGGCTGAGAAGCGCTCATGAGACCAAGAGACAGCCCACGGCGGCCTCAGGAAAGGGAGCGAGCGTCGCCGTGGACCTAGGCCTCCGACAAGGCTGCTTGGCAGAGAGAGACACAGAGAAACCACCCCAACCCTCCCCTGGGGAGCCTCCGGAGGAGTGAGAGGGAGGGGCACAGGACCGTGGAGAAGAGTGAGCACAGAATGGGGATAATCAAGCTCGAAATGTTTAATTGACTTATTGCGCTCTCTGGCAAGCTAAGTCACTAGGAAGCCCGTGGCAGCTTGGCTGGCAACGAAGACGTGCGTGTGGGCACCAGTGCTGAGAGGCCTCCTGGGGGAAGGGAAATCAAAACATATCCTTACCCTCTCTTGTTTGAAATCTGCAAAAGCACCATCTGCATATTTCTGCTTGCTCAAAAGCTGTTTCCTCCTCTCCTGACGTTTGGCACGCTTCTGGAATTCCTCATTGTGAACGTTCAAGTGTGAGGTCAGCTCGGCGGTGCTCTGCAGTTTGCTATCGCAGTGCTTACACTGGTAGGCGGGGCCCTGCGGGCGGGGGCCGCTGCCCAGGATGACGAAGTCCCTCTTGAGGTCCCGGCTGTGGTGGTCGGTGTAATGCATGCACAGCAGCTCGGCCGTGCTGAAGGAGAGCTTGAAGCACTTGATGCAGCGGAACGGGAGCCACTCCATCTCCTGCGCCTCGCCTCCCTCCACCTCGGCTTTCTCCAAGCTGCCTCTCTCCTCCTCCTCCAGCAGCACCGGCTTCTCGGGCTCGTCGGCGTAGACGGCCGTGAAGTAGCCCCCCAGCTTGCTGGCGTGCTGCTTCTTGGGGAACACCCCCGGGTGGCGCTTCATGTAGTGGGACACGATGCCCTTCTTGCTGAAGGACTGGAAGGAGCACAGGGAGCACTTCTTCTTCTCCACCGCCCGCCGCAGCTCCTCGCTGAGCTGCGGCGAGTCGTCCTTGGGCGGGGACGGGATGATGACCTTGTTGGGCTTGTCGCTGATGGTCCTGGAGGCTGCCAGGCAGTGGGTGTAATAGGCATCGATGTCGTGGCGCTTCTGGTAGTGGGCCGCCAGCCCTTTGCGGATGGGGTTGGTGTAGGAGCACAGGGCGCACTTGAAGAGGTTGTTCTTGCCCTCGGGCTGGGCGCGGACGTTGTTGTGCTTGATGCGGTAGTGCCTGGCGATGCCCTTCCTCGTGGAGCAGAAGTACTTGCAGAGCTGGCACCGGAACACCGTGTGCGAGGCCAGGTGCGAGGTAGAGAAGTGAGCAGCGGGCACGGGCTCCTCCCCCACCTCCTCCTCGGTGATGGAGACTTGGGAGGGGCTCACTTCAGTGGTTATCTCGGGCTCGAGGGACACCGGCAGCTTCGGGGGCGACGGGGAGAAGACATCGAATTCAGGCTGGTTGTGGTACTTCTCGTAGTGGATCTTGAGCTTCTCCAGAGTGCCATGCGTGTAGGGGCAGAGTTTGCAGCGGTAGGCGCCGAACCCTTGCTTGAAGATCCGGCTCGTCTCCTCCACGTCGTTCTGGGCGATGTCGGCGGACTGCTCCACGTCGTGCACAAAGTCCTCGGCGGTCACCTTGATGGCCGGGTGTCGCTTCTGGTAGTGGGTCAGGACGCCGTGGATGCGGGTGTTGATGTAGGGGCAGTGCCGGCACTTGTAGACGGCGCCTGGGTTGATGTCGATGTCCTGGGCGAAGTCGGCGGCCTTCACCTTCATGCCGGGGTGCTTCTTCCCGTAATGGGTCAGGAGGCCGTGCAGGTTGTTATACTCGGACTGGCACACGGTGCACTGGTACGGGGTGGAGTTGATGGCGGGGTTGGCCGAGGAGAGCTGGAGGCTCTTCTCCGGGGAAAGCCGGGCATCCTCGGGGCATTCCACGTCCTGCTCGGGGAGGGGAGCGGGCAGACCGCTTTCACAATTCACGGGGCCCACTAACTCTTCGGACGAAGGGATGGGGTTCTCCACGGCATCTTTCTCCTTGATGATGTCCAGCAGCACCGACTCGTCACCATTCATGGCCCAGGGGTGGAACGCTTGGTAGTGATTGGTGATGTCCCAGATGGAGATGGCTTCGAAGACACAGTCGCGGCATCGGTAGGTTTTGGCTTCGGCTGGCATCATGAGGGAGGGAGGGGATGGGTCTGGCCCGGCCCAGAGTTTGGTCGCCATGTAGGTGTAGTCCACGTAATGCTCGGGGTGCCTCCTTTGGTAATGCAGGAGCAGGCCGTTGGGCTCCGTGTGGGAATAGATGCACCACTCGCAGTGGTAGCCAGCTTCTATGGAGCCATCGAGGAACGCCCAGCGCATGATGGACGTGACCGTGGCCTTCAGGGCGGGGTGGTCTTTCTTGGTATGCTTCCTCAGTGCATAGAAGTAGGGCGAGGTGTACGAGCACTGCCTACACTTGAGGGCTCGCAGTTTCGTTTTGTCCCGCTCCACGCCGGAGGGGGCAACCAGCATGCAACTGGCGGACTTCCTCTGGTTCCGGTCACAGAGGCTTCGGATGGTGGCCGTGTGCTGCCGGATCACGTCTGCGTTGGCCTTGAAGTCTCGGTGCTTCTTCTGGTAATGAATGAGTACCCCTTTGACCGTCCGGTTCCCGTAATCACAGTGCTGGCAAAAAAACATCTCGTTCTCCACAGGGGGGCCATCTCTCTCGGAGCTGCTCCGGCTCAGCGGCTGCATGGGGGCGGGCGGCCGGGGGGAGCCTTGGGGCCCCTCGGCCCCTCTCATCATGGCCGCTGTGGGAGGAGCCTGTCTGATATATTTGGCAGTGACCTTTATCTCTGGGTGTCTTTTCTGGTAGTGGACAAGCACTCCCACAACTGACCGATTGCTGTAGGAGCAGTGTTTGCAGTAGTAAAGCTCAGTACTGAGGTCTGGTGGCGGGGGTTGTGGGGGGGGTGGGGAACCCATGGTGGACATTTTGGGAGACATGGGAGCACCCACCTCAAATGATAACTGAGAAAGGGCCGCGCCCCTGTCCACAGACACCATTCGCATGGTTTTCTGGATCCTAAAGTAGGAAGCCTTTTCTTCGGGGTGTTTCTTCTGATAATGAACCAAGACAGAGTGCATGTTGGGGCTTGCGAACGAGCAAACGTCACAGTCGTACACGACCACGGTGTTCACGGAGGGGTCCTTCTGGTTTTCACATTCTGGAGGAAAGGTCTTGGGAGGGGTGCTTTTATTGAACGCCATGCCGCCACCGCGAGCCACGGGCGTGGATGTCGCCAGGTTCTTGGGCGCCGAATTCAGGATCTCCCGCAGCGTCTGGGACTCGGTGCTCAGCCCCTCCTGCTGCTCCACGACATAGCTGGAAAAGATCATGGCGTTGTTGATCTTCACCGTGGGGTGCATTCTTTGGTAGTGCGGCATCAGGCTCCTCACATTGGGGCTCGTGTAGGAACAGAACCGACACCGGTAGATCAGGTCCGAATGGTCAAAGTTGAGGACATTCATGGCTTCGGGGTGGTGCTCACCGTAGTGCTGCTGGAGATCTTCGAAGTTGGTGTAATCGATGTAGCACTCCAGGCACCTGTACACCGCGCTGTGGTCGTTGGGGTCCAAGATGTACCTGAAGCTGAATTTAATGTACGGGTGCATCCGCTGATAGTGGGTGCTGACACTCCGGGCAGATTTGTTGTTAAAGTCACAGTGTTTGCAATAGTAAAGCCTCCCAGAGTCACTAAAGTCTGTACTTTCGTTATTGTGCTCGGTCCCATACAGGGGAACCTGGGCGTTCAGCAGAGCGGTACCGGAGATTTGGTGATCTTTTAAGTTTGTCGAGGAGCCGTAATAATCCTCTTCGTCTTCCGAAAGCGTGAGCTCGATCTCCGCCCCGTTGGTGGCATTGTAATCGTGGCTGATGTTTCTGAAGTTGGGCTCCTTCTGGGGCACGCTGGCATCTGGCACCCACAGCTGCTGCGTTGCAAAGGGAGGGGGCACCTCCAGGACTGGCTCCGTTGGCTCTTCTTCCCGGTCCAACTCCACCTCGATCTCCACTTCATTGTCTTCCTCTTCCTCCTCATCATCCTCGACGTTGATCACGGCATCCTCCTGCTGTTTGCTCTGGTTGATTTTGCTCTGCAGGTTGCTCGCGATCTCGTCGATCCTCGTCCTCTTCTTCACGGGCGATAAGTCGAGAGGAAAGTCACTAGCGAGCTTCCGAGAGGCCTTAGCTACAAAATTGTTCTTGGAGGACAACCCAAGAATTGAGGTCTGGCTTTTCTTCACAGTGTTGCTGGAAGAGGGGTGGCTGTCTGTCTCACTTTCCAATGGGAGGCTGGAGGGCGGCCCCTCGAATTTTGGCAAGTTGTCGCAGAACGAGTGTTTGTGCTGCTGATGGACTCTTAGCCCTTTCAGAGTCGTGGTGGAGTAATTACACATGGTGCATTTGTAAGGGTGCAGGGGTGGGGCTTGCACGGGGGGCTGTGGCGGCTGCGTCGGCGGGGGCTGGGGCTGGGGTGGCAGCTGATGTGGCGGCGGCAGCTGTGGTGGCTGAGGCTGTGACGGAGGTGGTGGCGGTGGCAGTGGCGGCGGCGGTGGCGGCTGTTGCTGCAAGGAATCCAACATGACTCCTGACTTCCTGCCATTGATGCTTGGGCTCTCGTAAGACACGACCCCTTCATTCACTGAGGAACGGAATCCTTTCGCTCCTGGGGAATTCACAGCATCCCAATCTGACGTTGGTACCCGTGTGCCCTGTTTTGTGAGCCCCCCCAGTTTTAAACGAGCTCTTGCAAAGTAAACGGCCATTCGTCACATTTGTACACAGCCTGTCTTTCCGGGATAAGTGAAATGTTCTCTATGTGTCGGGAGATGCTCCGTCGATGCATGGTGAGGGAAAGGACAAAAGGGGCACTGGAACCCTGTTCATAAATCTCCTGAAGGGAATGCCCTTGGTTTCCAAATAATTTGTGGCCGTCGGAGCCCATCAGCTGCTCTGCAGACATGCCTGCTGTCTGGTGATCCATAGTGTTTAGGCCGTTCTCACTGTCTATCTCATTGAGCTCTTCCTCGGAGCTAGAGTCATTCAGCATGCTGTTCGTTTCCAGGTCGGCAGGAGAATTTGTCATGTCAGCCATTCCGTAACGGGATCTCTCTGCCAGGTTAACAAGGCCAGAATTGTGAGGTGACTTCGGCTTCATCGGAGGGTAGGACAGGGGCGAAAACTTGGAAGCTGAAGAAGAATTGGGTCTCATGATGGAGTTGCTGATGGAGCCCCTGTAGTTGGAGACGTTGGTGTTGGGCATCTCCCGGCTGGCAGCATTCATGGACAGGTAGGTGGAGTTGGAAGTGGGGCTGGGGTCGTTCTTCGGCAGGTCGGGGAGACTCGTCCCTTCCTGCTGTCTGAGGTTGGAGAGGACCTTGACCATGCTGCGGTGTTTCTTCATCATGTGGTCACACCACCGTTCTCGGCGCGGGGTCTGGTAGCTGCACCACTCACAGCAAAAGTTCCCTCGAGACTTGGTCAAAGGCTTGACCATGGATTCCAAGATGCTGCGCTCCACGACCTCTGCAGGCAGCTCCTTGCAGGGGTCCTGCAAGGACACAGGCGGGATCACGGGTTCTGGCATGGGGACAGGGGCAGGAGGGAGCGCGGCGATCTCCTTCAAACTGTTTTTGTGATACATTTTCTGGTGCTTCATTATTCTCGCCCTCCTTGGTGACTTGTATGTGCAAAACTGGCAAGAGAAGACCTTTCCAAACCCCTCGTGCATCATGATATTATAATTTAAGGATCCTGGAACGGGGGGTCCCGCCGAACTCCCTTCAGCTTGAGCCCCGTGGACCTTCCTAGTGTGTTCAATGAGGAGGTTTTTTGACCTGAAGTAGCGTACGCAGAACTTGCATTGAAAAAACTTGCTTGTTGGTTTGGGATTAGGGGCAATATGCTGACCGTGATATCCTGGACTGTGGCCATAGTAACCTCCGGTCCCCAATGCAGTTGCATTTTGACCTAAAGAGAAAACACAGGGTAAGTGGGACAAGAAAAGCAAAACAAGAGAGAATTAAGAAATTCAACCATGCAAGTCCACTTTTCTTTTCAATTATTCTTCATAGCCACGAAAGCACGAGTTTCACCAACTGCAGTCTCCATTCGAGAACTTTCAGAGAGACGACACCTTGTTTTCCAAATGGAAAGGAAACTAAGAGTCAGAAGGAAGCTGAGAGGACAATAACCTAGGAACTCAAGAACCGAAACATGATGCCCAAACCACAAAAAGGGCTCAAAAGAGCGAGAAACTCTGCAGAGCAGAAGCCCGTGTATCAAGAACCAAGGCCACTGGCTCAAAATACGTGAGAGCACTGAACTATATCAGACAGGCCGAGGTCAGTCTAGATTTACCTGATAAATCCTCTGCGATCCCAAATTCATCCTTTATAGACGAAAACTCCACCTCGGTCTGATTGCTGGCATTCATGGACCCGGATCGTGGCTCATGCGCGTTGTCTTCGGCAACATCAGTGGGCTGCAGAAACGCCGTGTGGACATCCTGAATGTGCGCCTTGAGATCCTCATAGGATGGGGCTCTGAAGTCACAGCCATCACACTGAAGCACCTCCATGACGGGGGTCTACCCTCTCACATCAGGGACCTGTGGCAGAAGGCACAACGAAACGTCTCAAGCAAGGCAGGGAATGCACAGCCCAAGTCGATGGGGCTGAAGTCATTACTGGAGAAAATTCTAGTATCGGCAGATTTCGCTTACTAAGCTCTACCAGTTGGAACACTGGCCAGAGGAAGGCCATCAGACATAACGGGGATGATGTCCTTGACTTCATAACTTCAAAGAAGGAAAGAAAAAAAACAACACCACCCAGATAAACTTTTATTGGCTTGATAGATCTTCAAATGCCATTTGTCAAGCAAACGTCCAGAGTTCTAGTACTTTCTGAATTTCTTGACCAAATTCAAATTTCTTGGTAAGTTAATTCTGATTGTGGTTCTGGCTTGGGCCCATTTTCTTTTGTGAAATAGAGGCTGTCCATACAGAGGAAAAGAAAAAACTTCAATCTCCATTTGCCGTTTTAGTATCATAACACTGATGTTTTACCACTACATTGTGAAACAGTATGGCATCTCAGAGTGGTGGTAAAGAGAGCTTTTATTGGACCTTTTATTATTTTAATCTTAATAATTTTAAGAAATAAAAATTTAAAAAATAATTTTATTATTTTAATTTAACATCTTAACTAATATTGGGATACACCTCTTTCCTCCCTTCCCCTAACACTTTAGTTGGCTTTTTTTTTAATGAGCTAAATGGTTATTTGCTTTTTACTACCCACCAATTATAACTTAACAGCTTCTCCAATCTAATTAGGTCATAAAATATTTCTCATGAGGTTCTCAAACAACCAACTTTAAGATGACAATCCAGTTTCTTGTTTAAAGTTTGCACCTTGGTACCTCAATTTCCATGAAGGCAACAGACAGAAATTCGCAGTCTTGAAGAGGGGCTTCCGAGTCACGACTTTTTAAAATCTTTTCCTATTTCTCTCCTTTACAAATGTGAAGTGTATCCTTCACACACACACACACACACACACACACACACACACACACACACACACACACACAGGCTGTGAACCTGATGTAGAATAATTTTAAAAACTTGCCCAGCTACCTTCATTCTGCTATTTAAAATGGGATAGAAATATATAGACAGCTTCCCACTAACTCAATGGAGAGTCCCATCATTAAGAAGTTAAAAATGTAGAAGGCACAGGCCTTCCTATCATAACATATATTCGGAGTGGAGACAACCAACTGTTATCTTAATGAGCGAGTGAGTTCATGGAGCTCACCCGCCGCAAACTCTACTGAGTCACTGCGATCTAGAACCAGATGTCCGAGAACAAACAAATCTCTCCACACTTTTATTGTGCAGCAACTTTCTCTACTTTCATTGGAGAAGATACCTTATGCCTGCGGGAGAACAAAGTCTAGGAGTATGTCTATGTAGTAGAAGCAGCCGATGCGGGAGGATTTTCCATGAAGGCATGCTCCTGCTGAGAGCCTACTAAAATAACTTCTGGCAAGTCCAGCTCTGGGCAGACAGGGGCTTGCAGAGTGAGGTGCAGATACGCACCTCCTCTTCTCTCCCCGGGCAATCTATCCTTTTTCAATAAACATCGAGCCAGAGTCTCTTCAGCTAACTAAGTCTCAATATTCCAGATACACAAGCTTTTAGGTCTAAGCACCAACCCAAATTGTGTGGAAGAGGGTTGCTATCAGCTCTGGATCGAATTACAGCAGCCACCCAGGCCCCACCCCACTTCTCTCGCACAGTCCATTAGACCTGAAAACAAATTTTTCCATGGTGCAGACGACTCCTGCATTTAGAACACTTCATAGGGAAGAAAGAAAAAAAAAAGAAAGCAGATCATCCAGTGTGCACTCCCCATCCCCCAAGCTTAGTCCTTTCATCTCAGCCAAACAAGCCACAGCTCTGCCGAATGTGTTTATCACACTTTCAAGAGATAGGAGCCCTGCGTCACTGGAGCCCTAAGACTGGCTGAGCTGCCCTCGTCCTGAGCTTCAGCGCAGCCATTTTAGCTCCGGGCACAACATGGATTCTCTGGGATTCGGCTGGGCTGACACTCGGCAATGAGCCTCCAAGAGCAGCCTGGGCTCCTCCTAGGCTCTTCTCCTCCCAACAAAGAACGAACTGTTTTCATTCCTTTCCCAAAAAAGCTGCACCTCTCTCCTCCTCACATGTCATGCACCAAGATTTCCGAAGGTTCCATTATCCCATGATTGATAGGCTGGTCCCTTGGTCCCAGCAGAGCACTGGCTACCACAGGACGACCCTGGACCAGACCCTACGCTCCAGCAGGATTGGGGGGCGGGGTGGGGGAACCTCCAGAATGCCTTGGCTTCTTGGGAGTCGTCCCTCCACACACGCAGAAGACATACCATCCGACGCTGCTTGCCAGATTCCAAAGTCTAATGACCTTTGTTAATCACCAGCCAGTCTGTCTGCATCAGCAGACCCTGCCAACAGACACACCCTTCCACACAAAGGCTGTAGCTATTCCTTTTAAAAGAGGTTCTCTGAAAGCTCCATTGTGTAGCCGGGAGGAAAACAAAATCTCTTCCCTTCGAAACTTCAAGCCTTTAGAAATAATGCAACAAAAGCCTTTCTGCTGTGTGTCTTTTGGGAAAGTTGGGAGCCCGGTTTGCGCAACATCAACACAAATGATGGTTCTGCACAAGGAAAGCAGGGCACCTTCGGCGTTCAGTCGTCCACCCAGAGATGAAATTCCTCTCTCTGTGCCGTCCACAAACACCTCGGGCTCTTCCGAAGCTGCTAAGGATTCTAACTTCACCGGATGCAAACGCAAACCAACAGTCTCCTTGTTCAGCTACAAAGGAGATTAAAGGGTTATGAGATCAGAAAAAAAAAAAAGCCACTGATTTGGAAAAAAGAAGAGATGATGAAAGTGATTTCCTAATGGGTTCTAGCTTTAATGTTGTTGCAGCCTCTACCTCAAAAATAGCTCAGAGCCTTGGAAGAGGTTAATCTCCAGGCTGCCGAGAGAACCAGCGTCGGGTACAGCTGAGTGGCCTTCAATTTGACGTCTGCACCAAGTACAGAAATGAGGATGTCGCCTCCTTTGAAAGCCATTTTGTCTTTGTGTACACATTTCTCCTGAAGACGCCGACAGAAGAAAACAGAAATTGCCAGCATGGCCCAAACAATCAAAGAAAACAGAAACTTGATGTGGTTGTGAGACTGAGGAGGTACCCATGTGCAAGAAGGCAGAGGAGGAGGAAAAGGGATGAGGGGAAGGGAGAGACAATGAAAACTGGACCCAAGGACGACCCATCCATCAACCAGAGGATGTTTTTGCAGCAGATGGTAATCCTCTGAGAAACCAACAACAAGGAGGAAAAAGATGAGAAATAAGTTTTATGAAATTGACTGCTCCAGCAACCCTAAAAGGCTAAACTAGACTGATCTGCTACAAAATTGGGGTTTAAAATCAAAAGCCTTGATCTCACATCTACTTACTTCATTTAAAAATACTGTCATAATGAGATTAGCAATGGTTTTTCCCCCCTCACTGACCAAATCAGCAAAATCAAAGGCAGAAGAAGCTTCTAAATTAACTAAAAAAAATGTTATTTCAAAAGATCATGAGATGAATCTACAAATCAAACAAGCACCCTTCCCACTCTCTGTCTCCTATTCCCCATACAGTAGTTCTATCGGGTGACTAGACTCTGAACACCACCCATGATGACACTGGCTAGATGACTATGGATTCATTCTCCAATAACCTCACACTCATGTGCTAGGTCCCCCTAACATGGAAGCCCTAGACCAGTGGTTTTCAATCTTCTGGCCTTTAAATACAGTTCCTCATATTGTGACCCAACCATAAAATTATTTTGGTTGCTACTTCATAATTGTAATGTTGCTACTGTTATGAATCGTAATGTAAATATCTGATATGCAGGCTGGTCTTAGGCAACCCCTGTGAAAGGGTCGTTCGACCGCCAAAAGGGTCGCGACCCACAGGTTGAGAACCGCTGCCCTAGACCAGTGGTCAGCAAACTCATCAGTCAACAGAGCCAAATATCAACAGTACAACGATTGAAATTTCTTTTGAGAGCCAAATTTTTTAAACTTAAACTATATAGGTAGGTACATTGTTATTAACTTAATTAGGGTACTCCTAAGGCTTAGGAAGAGCCACACTCAAGGGGCCAAAGAGCCGCATGTGGCTCCCGAGCCGCAGTTTGCCAACCATGGATTACTCATTACTCTCCAGTTCTTATTATCTATCAGCTGTTGATTCGTTCACAATTTACATTGATAGTTTCGCGAATTCAAAATGTGGGGTTTTGATGGGAAACCCCAAATCCAATGTTCCATATTTGAAAAACTCTTAAAGTCACATTTAAAGCAAACCCAAAGGTTTTGTTAAAGGTTTGGAATACACGCATGAGAATGGGGAAAGGGAAGTTATGGGAACAGGCCACTCTTTCTCCACCTTAAGAACACCAATGTGAATATGTACCGTCTGCTCACACACTATCTGTGCTCAGAACTCCTGGGATCCATCAGGCCTCCGTTGTCTTCCTGTGAAGGTGAAAGGAGACAATCCACAGCTCCATGGGGAGTCCTTCCAACTCACTGCACAGGAGTAACTGGAGATGGGGGAGGTGCCTTGACGGTTCACAGAGTTCTCGCCATCCACGCTTGCCCAGGTTGGGCACTGCTCTTTAAGTCTGCATGGCCCAGGAGCAGAAACCTGGTCTTCAAGTCAAAATCCCAACTGTCTCCAGGAGGGGCCCAGATTAAACACGCAGGCCTTGCCTGGATCTGACCAGTCCTCTGACTGTAGGACTGCAGACCAGAAATAAAGCTGCAAAGCACCCCCGCCACAGGGACTCAGCAGCAACTAATTATAACCTTCAGAGCCTTTGAAAAACAGAACCAGAAACACCATCAGGTGCTTTTCCTTTGTCCACTCCAGAAACCTAGTTTCACTTAAGACAGCGAGCTCCCCAGTTCTCCTGAATCACAATTCTAATCAAAGGCTTTAGTTTTAGCACCTGTTGCTTGTGCCTTTCTTACTTTCCTGTCCTACCAGTAGAAAACACAATTACCCAAGGACAGGTAGTAGAATACATACATTTTGGAGTAGCTCAGCTAGAAAAACAAAAATCAGGAGCTTAAAGATCTTTCTACAAATGTTTTTGCAGATCAGAAACTGTTGAAACGAGGAGGTCAAAGAGCTGTGGGTTGTGTGGGGAGGTTAATGTTTCTATTTGCAAGCCCCAGGACCATGGTTTGGGAGGAATTTTCATGCTTAGGGTGAAAAATGGGGGAGGGGTGAATCACTAATTAATCCACTTGTGAATGTTGGGTTGCTACTCTTAGCAACAAGGGGTGTTCTATATCAGTGGTCACCAACCGGTGGTCCTCGGACCACTTGGTGGCCCATAAGGTCCGAAAGGTTGGCGACTGCTGTTCTGTATCACTTATCATCATGGTCAAAGTGGAAGTCCTAATATTTTAAAATGCAAATATAGTATGTCTCTCTCTCTCTTTCATATAAAACATATATATGTAATTTTTAAAATTTAATTTGAACTCAGATATGAGCATGTGCCCTCCAAATTGATAGGAGATCTGTTGGCA